GCTTTCCTCCTCCTGTATGCAACTATTCCTGTCCACGCTCACCTTTTTGTGTGGGTTTGTTTTTTGTTTTTTTACTGGCAGAAGAGCCCAGTCTCCTCCGACCAAGCTCTTTCCCAGAAACTCCCAGTCTCCGTCTAAGAGCAGTACACAGCTCCGTTCCTCCCGCTGCTCCTCATTTTGATCAGTGCTTTCTTCCAGGCGTTTATGTCATGTCTACTGACATCTCCCACACTTACCTTCTCCCGCACCCAATGTCAGTCAGGTTACAGGCCCTCAGCATAGCCATTAGTCTGATCCCGGCTCGGTTTACTTAACGCGTTAGTTGCTCTTCGGTGTTAGAAGTTGTAAGGGTGACGATTGTTACGGCTGGGGGTCCCCAAACCTCCAGCAGGGTTTTTTAAGAGTTAAAGAAAGGGCAGAGGAAACCCTGCTGACTGTCAGTCAGACTCCCTCTCAAGCCCAGTCCACTTCCCCTCTAAGCCTTAACAGCAGTTTTGCGACTTCCAAACCAGACAGTTTTCATGGTCCATTACCTTTGATTACAACTCTCTCTACCCAGTTATAGTTACTAACGGCCAGTTTCTCAAAGAGACAGCACTAGCACCATCCGGTAGCTCAGAGATTTATGAACCTTTAAATTAATGAAAGCACAGGCTAACACTGATCTTTTATATCTCCTCATTAACCTAAAGGGTACACAGTCACAGAAACCCGGGAAAGGACTGACGCATTCCCATCAGCTTGTAAGGCCAATTTAAGGCTCTGGTCCTAAATTTCAAAGCCAAATAGGGGATTGAGACTTAGTGGCACAAAGCAGATACGGATGTTGACCCAGACAGCGCTGTGCTCACATAGGACGGCACCTCCTCAAAGGCTCAAACAGGGCCAGCCGTTCGGGTGGTCTCTACTCCAAGCAGCCTGGTTGCAGAACAGCTTCTGCAGAGCTCAGAGAAGCCACGCCAGCCCTCCTTTTCAAAAGGTCCTTCCTCCGTTTTACCAACACTCCCTGATACTTTCTTTACCTCTTTCATCACAGACCTTTTTTTCTTCCCCGGGAAACAAAGACCAGCTAAAGCAAATGAAACGTGAACACAGCTTTACAGATAGATCTCCCTGAAAAAAGAAGAAATTAATAAAAATCCATGTTGTTATTTAACTTAGTGTCCTGGTTTCAGCCAGGATAGAGCTGGTTTTCTCCACAGAAGCTAGCGTGAGGATATGTTTTGGATTGGGGATGAGAAAACGTTGATAAGGTGCTGATGTTTTGAGTTGTTGCTAAGTAGTCAAGGACAGTCCAGCTTCTCGTGCTGGCCTGCCAGCAAGCAGGCTGGGGGTGCACGGGGAGCTGGAGGGGACACAGCCAGGACAGTGACCCAGACTGGCCAAAGAGATACTCCCTACCATACAACGCCATGCCCAGTACATAAACTGGAGTTAGCTGGGGGGTGGGAATCGCTGCTCGGGGACGGGCTGTCGATCACCAGGTGGTGAGCAATTGCTGTGCTGGGCATCACTCGTTCTTGTACATTCCTTTGTTGGTATTATTATTGTTACTATTATTATTATTGCTGCGTGGTGCTTAGTTGCCAGCTGGGGCTAAACCACTTAGAGAGAGGCACTTTGGCACTGCCAGATGTCAGCATAAAACTTTTGAAAGAGCAGAAGAGGGGAGCGTAGAAGCTTTTCACCTAAAGGTTACAGCAGATGAGGAGTCAACAGGTATGTCCAGGACCTAGCTAAGGCACCGGTATCTCAGTCAACTATCCTCAAGCCCCTGAGCTGCCGTTTGAACCCTCCCAACGCCGTGCATCAGGTGCTGTAGTTTCTCACTGCTGCCGCACGCTGCCCGGCACGGCGGGGGCGTGTGCTGGCGGCGGAGGGGACTGCCTGCTGGCAGGTACCGCTGGCAACTCCTAACTGCCCAGCTGAGAAGCATCTGCAACAACCTCCAGAGAAGATGGGCCACAAGAAGAAGAAGAAAAAAAAAAAAAAAAAAGACATAAAATACCAAAAGCTGGAGGTGAACCTCAGTTTCAAGTAATCGGTTGCAATTATATATCAATGGTTCCACAATCCAAGCACAGACTTCCTGGTGCTGATCGCTGCAGTTTTAATAAGTGCTGAGGCAGTAGATATTTGAGCTGGAGCTAAACGCTTCCTAGATTTTCACCTCTCACGGACAGGCTCCCTGCCGTTGTTTTGCCATTTCGGCACCCTGCAGAGAGCGTGGGCATGCAGACGCTGTGCCATCCTCTGTGCTCGGGTCTGATTCCTCCCGGAGAGCCGCTCTCCTCAGCCTACACAAGTACACTCGTGGGCTTCTCATCTGGCAGCCAAGGGGCAAAGAACGCTCACCTAAGCACGTAGGCGAGAAAAAAGAGCCTGGCATCGGAATTAAACTTACTGCGGGCTAAATAACTTCTTTCACTCAGAGGAAGATCAATTCAGGGGCAACTTGCAGTCCCTCAGGGGTGATCAAAACAGATTCCTCTCATAAGCACCAAGAAGCAGTTGTTGGTGATCACAGGTGGATGCAGTAAGCTCCCTAAGATCCATCACAAAATGCTACAACACACTAAAGCAAGCTCCTGATTTGGTTCTAAAAAAATTGAAGGTGCTAGTAATGCTCTGCTACACCCGCTATGTCAGACTTCATTTTGGCTGGAAATGAAACCTATCAAGCGTGTGAAGAAAAACATTCACCAAACCAAAATTTGTGTGAACAGCACAGTTCTAAAAATTGTGCTGTTTAAAACTCCTTTCACCCAGATAGCTGCTGGCGACTGTGGGGAGAAATAAAATATACCCAGCTGGCCAATTATATACAATAAAAATTAGAAAAGCCTAACAGCTACTCTTTACATGGTTTGTCCAGCCTCCTTTTTCCCCTTCCCCCTTCTGCATAATATACAGTCAGAAGCACTGTGTCATTTTCCACCATTAAGGTGATCTTGCATTTTGATGGAGGTTTTTTCCCCAGGAGACTGTGGGATGAATCGGCCTGTGCACGCTCGAAGATACGTCTGTACCGCAGACTGCAGCGTAGTCTAGAGATAGCTGGGATAGAGCAGGTACTGGAAGCTAAGAGCTCTGTGAAGACTGAGAACCTTACCCTGTTAAGACATTAAGGTAAATTAGCACAGATACTGCTCATATGGGCAGAGCACTTCCAGCGCTTCCCCTAGCTCCAAGGGACAGCAGTAAGACTAATGAGGCTTGGGACTAAAGGTACATCTATGAGAGACGGCTGAATGCCAGAAGGCAAAAAAGGAAGAAACCAAAATAGTAGTAAGCTGGCAAATCAAATAACAGAGGTAATCGCAGAGAGGTTAACTAGTCGTGTGTACACCTGCATGCGCACGCTTGAAGCATGATTCTACGTTTCATCTTTGTCACATTCCAGATAAAGTTAATTGTTTTAATTGACATTAAAATGACTCTACGAGTAACATCAGCCAGCCAAAACCCTTTCCCGCCCAACGTTCTCAGAGCTGTTCCAGCAAGAATAAGGTATCGAGGGAATGAACTTGATTAAAGTCAATTTAAAAGGGCATACAGGGTGGGGATGAACGTGAGAAACAGCCATTTGGGAAGAAACTGATGAGCCATCCAACAAGTTTGAGAACTGTTCTTTCGGAGCTCCCATCTATAACTGGAACACTGAAGTAGCACGCATCTTTACATTCAATTTACCAGATTTATCTTACCTGGAAAATAGCAGCTGGGCCTAAAATAAATAGTTTAAGACCACAAACAGATTTGCTGAAAAATGCCCCACCCATGAACATAATTTTAGAAGCAGTAACCTTTGCAAAGGTTCCTTCTCCACCAGTGAACCCTCTCAATGTTGTCCCCTCAATGCTGAGAAGCATCCATGCAGCCCAGCCTTAGAGCACTGTAACCCTAATTAAACTGTTTTACTACATTAAGGAGCAAACAAGCAGAAGATATCTGAGTGTTTCTATATGTGAAAAAGTATCTGTGCAGCTGTCTATAGGAAGATTAACAAGTAGCTACCTGCAATACAAAGAGAACGGTAGACTGGTACAGACAAGCAGAAGTTGCTTCTGTAAACCCACGGTCAACAACCGTTTGCAGTCTATACCTTATCAGGTCTGCTCTGTGAATACAGAGTGGTACATGCATCCCTCTTCCCTGAAGATCAGTGATGTTTATATACTTAACTGCTACTGATCAGCTACAGCATTATTTTTTTTAAAAGTTATTTATTTAAATTAGGTTTGAGACTTACCAATAGTTTGAGCAGCCAAAAACGGGACTTGTAATATAAGGTTTTGGTAGGGTTGATAAGAAAAAGCAACATGAAGCCGTATAAGATGAGTGGATTCACCTGCATAGGGATGTAGGTGAATTTACCATATATACATGCCAGCAGGCTCAGGCACCACAAAACCCCCAGGAAGCCAGCAATCTACAGAAAGATAGAAAAAACACACAGATACCTTGTGAAAATATAGCTCTGAAACCTACAATGAATTCTCATTATAAGAAAAGGGAGCGCAGTGCTCAATCCCGTAACCTAATCAGACTTTGCAACTTCCTCTTCTAATTGTGTTAGAACTCCTTGCCAGGAAACGGTGCAGGATCTACCCTCCCGATATGCCGCACAGCTCAACCACTCCTACAATCTATTCTGTTTACCTCAAAGAGATGTTGATGGGACAAGTTGCTGCGGGGATTGAGTTCAAAGATGAGGACGTGATTGACTCCAGCCTGTCTCCAGCCATACGTGTTGATACCCAGGAGAAAGAGGAATTCTATCAGGAGAAAGCCACCTCGATAGATTCTCACCAGTGGCCACACATTTGGTCCATCTATAAAAGCCACACCTGGAAAAGGCAATAACGAAACGACGTCAGTGATGCCACAAGTCACGCCACGAAGCAAAGCTGCGCTCCCCTGCTTTACGCTGGCTCTCAGATGCTCGGCTGTACCCCGTGAAAACGGGGTACGCTCGCACGCACCTACGTATTGCAGCAAGCGAAGGGCACTTTGCCTAACCCGTTGGAGCATTTAGGAGTATTCTGTGGCAAATTCTCTCTCCAGCTGGTTAAGACGCTGCTAATGACCCGACTGAAGTCCCCTGTCTCGCACTACAGGCACGAGGAACAGCACGAGCATAAATTGTGACTATGTGCACTTAAATGTTCTGGTTTAATGGAGGTGAAATCCCAACAGGCAGATACACGCATACTTCAGCTCCCCACAAAACCAAGCAGCACCATTTACAGCATTTAAAACAACGCTAAACTGCGCCTAATCACCGGACTCAATACAACTGTAATGTAATACATATTCATAACTAGCAATATAATTTCTAGCCGCACCCAAACAGAAAACCCAACATAAGGCAGCAATACTGGAAAGCCTGTTGCTTCCTTTGTTCTGTCCTTAGGGTTTTGGAAACAAATTTGCCTAATTTCAAACAATGAGCAGCCTTGTACAGCAAGCAGCTTTCTCTAGCACAAGCCCCTTTGCAAAATACTGTCGCCCAGTTGCCCGATACGGGTTTTACGAGCAAAGCACAAATAAAATACAGTTGTTGAATCCTCAATTTCTATTTCACAGAGTGTTTCTCACCCACATGCTTTTTAAGAACATGCAGTTTTACAGAATCGATGCTGAGAATTTATTCTCACAAACCCTCCTGTCTAAATTACAGCACCAAGTTTTTGAAACTTTTCTTCAGAGAACGCGTATCTGTAAGAAGTTTCGTGAGTTCGGCATCTGTCCTTTATATCACATGAAATTATGGAGGAAAATCATGCAAGAAACAATGACTCAAGAACCATTGCTTTGAATTTAAAACTTAGAATACTGGATTCAGGCAAGAGAAAGTCAAATTTTGGACAGAAATGACAGACACCCTGAAGAAGTCAAAAGAAATGAGTCTTACACGTGGAATTAAAAGCACGCATTTCAAATTTTAATCTGAAATGCCTGAAGACAAAACCAACTGAGGTGCTTCCACACAGGACAGAGTAGCCCCCAAAATATTGAATAAAAAATACAGAATAGGACAGACGTGCTATGTGCTATTTGAAACAGAACACCCAAAGGTTTATCCTGAGGTGAACACAGTCCAGTATGACAGTACAGCATGCGACTTCCACAGTTGGTGCCTGCTAATCTTATTTCTGGCCTCTCAGGGTGGTAGAGGCCCATAATTGCAGTGTGGAACAGGAGCTGGTTCTGGAGAAAACGCAGATGCTGAACAATACAAGGAGCTGGGATACTAACACACAGAAGCTGAGAGTATTTCTGTATATTCTCTCCTCTGATACTACGACCCAATCCAGGTTAGCTTGCGCAGTACAAAGGCTAGATTTGATTTCCTTTTCGTGTTTCCTAACCGAACCATTTTCTTCACTACAGCTGAGCAGTTTGACTGCAGATCCTCGAGGACCTCGCTTGCAGAGAAGTGCCCAGCAAAGGTGTACAAGGTCTCAAACTGGCATGACCCCGGCCAGGGTTCTGTACTATAACCCCGAAACAAAGAAAACGAAAAAGATTTCTCATTCATATACTGTTTCCACTTAAATCCAACACCGCAAGCGAAGTCACCTCCTAAAGTCAGCAGGTACGTGACACTCAACCAACTCATCCCTTCGGCACGCGCGGGCTCTGAACACCACGCTCAGAGAGGAGGATGTCCCTGGTGACAAGCCCAACGGCATCGCAGCCTGAGCCCCAAACAAGAGACAGGGCACTTGCTGCAGCAAGTCTTGAGATTTTGCATGAAGTCTTACAGGTTTTTGGTTAACAAGACATCTGCCCATTTCCATGAGCTTTCAACCTCAATTACACAGTAGCCTGGCACCTAGGAAATACACTTTAGGGTGACACTCTCCTGGGATCCACCTGTAGCAGTTGCAGCCTTTAACGGACCCCAAGCTACTGTGAACCCATCTCTGTAAAATGCTGCTGCTCTACTTTTAAAATCAGGCAACACAGAAGTGACCTACTATTAGAAGTCATGTTGTAATGCTGTTTCACAGATTCTACGCATACAATGCTGAAATCCTATCTTAGTCAGTCAAATCATAAACCCAATTTGTCAAAAGTAGCAGAGAAGATAGCGAAGCAACATCCAGTTAAAAACAAACACTCTGCAGTTAGAATACAGTTTTTGACCAATACCTGAAGTAACTTACAGATATCGGATCGTGTCTGCTGATACAGACATACCCGTCATTCACACTAGGTTAGGAATATTTGCTTTAGAGATACCATCATTTTTATTAATTCATTCTCACAACTGTGTCACTTTTTAATTCTTAATACTGAGAGAGAAAGCAAACACAACTGGCTTCAATTATATTTGCATCTCATAAAAAGATCAAACACGTAAGTTACGGGAATAAAGAGACAGGATGAATAAAGAACAGCTTACACACATTAAACAGACCCTTCACACAGATGGGTCAACTTTCAGCCTCTACCACAGCAAGACCAAAAGGGAAACACTGCAAACAGATTCTCAAACTGAGGAATTCTATCCCAGGAGATGACTGGATCCAATTACAGAAACATCTGATTAAAAATTCTTTTAAATCAAAAACACAGACACAGGCTTTCCCTAATGCAAAAGCAAAAGCCTCTTTGTACTGCTTAAGCAAGTTACAACACTACTGAAATCACACAGACAATTAGTAAAGCCGCTTGTGATTAAGCGCTGTATCTGCACCTACAGTACTAACATGGTTGTTACTCTAATCAGAGTCCAAACTCAGAAGGCAGAGAGCAGAATAAAACCAAGGCCTGAGAGACGCAATAATTTATTGTAGCTTTTAAACAATCTTGCCAAAATCTGCCAACAAGGAAAATTCAATTAGTTCCATTAATGGGCACCAGGCACTGAAACCCTAGAAATTTCTACATGAAAATGCCCCGAGTGACATAGCGCTCACATGGCTCTACGCCTGGTCTCATTCTCTGTAGGGAGTCAGTACCATGCAAAACTTCAGTTCTACGAGCACCTGTCTCAAGGTGGGAGAGGGCTGTGCGTTCACAGAACGGTGACAGAAATCTGTCTTTAAACATGGATGTTGCACCTCCAGAATATGCCTCCGGGAGTAAGGAGGAAACCAGTAGAGCAAACCATAATACCTTCAAAGTCCGAAATCCGTGTACAGAGCACGAGAAAAACCAGAACCTGTCAGTGAGCAGAACTAATAATTCACAACAGCATGATCCGGAACATCCTGACCAAGCCAATTCAGGTCCAGGCCCTCGCTAAGTGACGAGAACATATCCAAACCAAGGTCCAGCAGCCAGCCAGGTCCAGCCAAGGATACCCACCTGAAAGTATGACAGTGACGTTCAGTGCAATGAACAACCCGCAGAACAAGCCAACCCTGAATGTAGTCCAGGCTGGTACAGGCTGTGAACAAAGCAATGGTAGAATTAAGGGGTGGTAAACAGATTATCAGCAAAGTCAAATTAATTTGCAGAGTAAATTTAAAATCAGGGATACAATGTCCTGATCTCTGATTGCACTCTTGCTCTTGAAGTGAGCCATTTTAAACTGAAAATGCTGCATAATATTCTTGCCTACGTTGTTGCTGTGTTGAAACAGAGCTTGGGCATCTCAATGCCCTTTGAAAAATATTGCAGACCACACAAACACTAAGTATATGTTATTATTAGTACAAATTTCCTTTTACTGTTTATCTCATCCCTTCATTACCTTGTCTGCATGCACTAGGCATAGTAAGCAAGCTACTTCCAAATCTTCTGGAACTAAAGCAGATTATGGTTTAGTGGTGGACTTGGCAGTGCTGGGTTAACGGTTGGACTTGATGATCTTAAAGGTTTTTTCCAACCTAAAATGATTCTATGATTCTCGACCATGCCTCCGTCACAATTTGTGAAGCGTGGTTACAGGAGCATCCAATTATTTCCACTACTTTGTTGAGATGTTGAATCTAATTTGGCACTGTGACAAGTTGGAGAAGCAGCTTTGCTACACAACTCCATCTCTCACCTGAGCTGCTCCTAAGGGTGGAACACGCAAACGTTTCATAGCCTTCTGTCTGTCTCCATCTTCTAACTCGTTGGTCACCACTTCCTAAGGAGATAAAGATACACATCACAGAAGTTCATTCTAATAATAAGCACATGGTACTGCATTAAACAAAAAATAACAGTTGATTTCCCAGTTACATTTGAGCCCGGGCCCAATATTCTTTTAACACACGGTGACAAAGATGTGAAAAGCTCACCATGCTGCATCAAGTTATTACATAAGACAAGCTAACACTGCACTAGCTTTTCAGAGTGAAAAGTTACCAGCTGAAGAGAACATACCCAAACTTATGTAAGCAGTGCCAGAAATCAGTGGCATTTCAAAATCAACTAATAGTTGTCTTGGTGGTGAGTACAAGCAAAACATTATAGGAATCAGTAGTGAACAAGAAAACAAGGAACTGTTTTCTAGTTAGAAGAGGAGCAGTGCCCAGACTAGCATCTTTACCTCTGTTTCGGAGATAAGCTGGTTGATCTTCTTGCAGGTGTAGAAGGGTGCCACCTCCACCTCGGCCACCCGCCATTCTGCCCCCCGTGCCGTCTCCAGGTTCTTGTCATGCTTCTTTAAGATCTTGCGGAAGCCGGTGAAGTTCAGGTTCTGCAGAGGAGGGAAAACAGTTAACGGCTTTTAACCTCAGTCACCTCCCAAGAAAGTGAAATGCTTATATTTCCAGCGCTAGCAAAAAACGAATAGTTAATAAGAAAAATCAAAATTATTGCATCTATTGTCAGGAATTTTTTGAGTTATTACTTTATTAGAAGCAATACCTATCCCTTGCAAATAAAAAAAATGTGAGACTCAAGGGCATAAAAAGAGGCAAACTTATTTGCAGGGAACTACCTAAACCTCATATTCCCTGAAAAGCCAAATCACTGCCACTTTCCTCCTTAATGGAGGAAGCAACAACATTCCTGATGAAACCTCACTGAAGATGAAGGACCTTTGGACTTACTCAAAACTTGTATGCTTAAAGTTATTTCAAGACATGTTCCCTCTGTCTAGATACGTCTTACCGCGTATGTCCCAGGTACTGGGACGTCCATCCCAACTGGTCTCTGCATTAGCAGTAGTTGTAATGAGCTCCTAACAAAAATATAAAGCTGCAGAAGAATTATGTTTTGTCCCAACTCCCACAGTCATTGATTGCCAATCCTTCAAGATGTTTTCCCTTCTGAAACGAGGCTACTGATTTCCAGTTTCTTTAAACTTTACATTGGTTTCAAATCCAGTTCTCCAGCTAAGTGCATTATAGAAGGGAAATCCTTGTACAACAGAAGACTTGTGAAAGTTTTAAATGCTGCAGATTAAATCCAGACAAGGGCATCCCCATAACAGCATCCTTTTCCACAGCGTACGTTGCACGACGACTGCAAAAATAGTTTAGGCTTGCAGACGTGGGAGATATAACACTCTAGTCTGTCGAGATAAGCGCACAGTGCTGCATCAAGACACAAAATAACGGTTCACTTCCAAGTTATATATGAGCCCTGACCCAATGCTCTTCTAATGCACAGTAACTAAGACAGGCAAAACTCATCACACTGCAGGCAACTGCTGTGACAAGATGCATTTGAAATCCTGCAGTTCGTTATACAGAAAATGCCACCCAAAAGACTCAATGTTTCATTCGAGCACTGGCAAGAACGGAGACAGACCACGGCAAGATTCCCTTCTAAAAAAGCTTAGGAAGTAGCTTGGAAAGAAAAACCAGAGAAAACGGTAAAGTCCAGTGCCCTGGGGAGAGGCACCAGCTACTCACTGAAATTATTTTCAATCTAATTATGCTTAGAGTGATTTAATACCAGACCCCCACCATTTAGGTGGGGAAATGAGGCTAGGGAGACAGGAGCAGGAAGCCAATGCATTAACGATCTGCACTATTGCAGACAAGAGACTCTAATTACTTTCTATTGGAAAAGCCGGCATTCCACCCCAGGGAGAGCAGATGACTATTTCAGAAATTGGAAATTAAAAAGATGCAATGAAATGATGATACCGGTCAGAGATTTTTCTGTAGTCTGAACTAACATTATTTTATGCGCCATGTGTGCAATCACAGCCCAACTCTGGTGTGCCTGGGCCGGTCGGGGCATGGCTACGTCAGGCACCCTAGAACCTCTCCAGCGGCGTTTCATCCTTTGGCTGCAAAAATTCTGCAACCTCAAAGTGCAGGATAAAAACACTGTTGGTTACCGTGGTACTTCTGACAAGGAACATGCAGTGATGGAACGGTGAAACAGAACAGTCAAACATCATTTACACAGTCAGGTGTTCTGCTATTCTTGCTATTCGTGATGCTTTGATTTGGCAAGAGGCTTTCTGCAAGCCTGCCTTCCATTTCTGCTGGATACTAACCAAATCCATTGAAGTGAATCAATTAATGGTATGTTTTGTCATTAAAAGTGAAAAAAACCCCAAACACAACCAGTGCAATTTACTCAATAATATAACACAAGACCAAGTAGAATCAAACGGTGGACTCAAAAACCTTTGCTCATGTACAAGCGTATTAGGAAAGGCACCAGCAAGGCAAATGCACAGCAGTTTACTAAGACTGATTCAGCCTCCATTATCTGCCCAATGAATGTACTGTATTATATACAGTATATGTAAGTAAATACTATATACTTAATTTCTCAAGATTTGTTCATTCTAAAACACAGTATTTCAAAAAAATAGATTTATATATGTACATACTCTAGAATGATATATTACTCTCAACAATAAATTAATTTTATCAGAAGTTTAATCATTGGTCAGTTATACAAGTAACAGCTACCCTGGAGACAAGTTACCGTTTCACTTGATATTTGGTCGGCGTACATTACGAATGAACGCATGCAACTCTTGCCCTTGCTTCAGTCCTAACAGACTGAGGACTTTGCTTCACGTGGATTTTCCTTTCTTAGTAACCCAACTCAAGACCTCAGCATTTCATCAAAGCCATGGTTTGATACGTATAATGCCGCTGTTGACTTCACTTTACCTCCAACATGAAGGCCTCAGCTATGTCATCTTCCTTCCACATTATTGTTCTTCCTCTCCAAAACTGCAAAAGCTTGAATATTCCTAGTTCTTATATGCTGAGCTCGAAAGTGATTAAGAGTAGTATTCTGGGATTTTGTTTTATGTCTGTTCTAGTACTTGTATTCCTTGTCCTCAACTTCAAGACCAATTTAAACTAATTTTTCTCATTCTCTCTTTGAAGATATGTTGTAGAAAGAAGCTCAGCTCCTTTTGGAAACTGGGAAAGCTATCAAATCCAGAATGGGGTTTACCTCACTATTTAGTATACATACAGTGGACCTGGACTCATGGTAGCAAATATCTAAGTGTGCAAGATGCCTTTCTTCATTGAAGAATAGCAGGAAAAATTTTTCCAAAGGAATGACCTATGTCATCTTCTATTTAAATTCTTCATCAAGCCTCAGAAGTGATTTTTTGTAACCAGAGGGGGGTTTTTGTTTGTTTGTTTTAAAAAGTGAAGAAATCACACCAGGTAATACTGCTTCGCTCCATTCCTGAAAAGCTACAGATACTATACTTTTCCCAGGATTTTGAACTAGAAACTATCTCTAGTAGTTAAAGGACTTTATTGAGAAACTCATAAATAATTTCTGGACATATGCTCAAAGACATAACATCACTTTAGGAGAGGTACAAACACTGAGAATTTTGGAAGAATTAAGTTTTGTCCATACTGCAGAGTGGTACTAATTCTTATGGTGAATTTTGTTTAGTAATATTCTCCAGTACAACACTGGTAAAGATCTAAATACAGGTGTAGTGAATTTAAGTTCAAACATTCTTACTTAACAAGCTAAAAACCCTCACAGTAAGATACTTAAAAGCATTTCAGAGTATTTAACACTAAAAGCTCAACAAAAAAGATCAATTTCAGATTTTTTGTTTCAAGTTTTTTGGAACAAAATCAGCATCTGCAATATTTACCATGTCTTTTCATGCCAGAAATCCAAATAGAACTAAAGATTTTTTTCATACTTCAAGGCAAAAGAGCCTTTACCCTACAGAATTAAAAACATTTTTTTTTAAAATGGATGTTTTAACAAGAAATTCTGATATACCAAGGTCACATGGTAACGCCAAGAGGAAACAGTACTTTAGCATTTCAAGTTTCATCACAAATATTAGATAAAAGAGCTTCTTCCCCAACTTGCCAGCTCCCGCCCTGCACAGAACAACACACTACAGGAGAAGGAGGTCCTGATGCGACTTTGTGTTCTGGCCATGCCTGGGCCAAGGGTGCTGGGGTCAGGCAGCCCAGAAAAGGAAGGAGGAAGGTCAGCTTAGCTTTTCTAGCTCAACAAAAAGCAACAAGACATATGCTGCTAGCTGTTAGGCAGCTGCCTTTTCTTTAAAAATGTGTAGGGACCTCCCTCAAAAAAAAAAAGAAAGAAAAAAATGGCTTGAATGAGGCAATTCAAGGATACACAAAGCAGAGACATTTACACACAGGGCTTTGTAGAACCACCTCTTTTTGAAGGTACCTGATAGTTCTGTAGTAAGATGAGGCTGAGGTAGAGCTCGCTGAAGGCCAATTTCAGATCTTTGATATTCCTATGCTGGACACGCTCTTCGTGGGACAGGTGGAAGACCGGCTTTCTGCGCCGCTGCAGCGTGGAAGCCCCACTGGCTTCTTTCTGTGCATCCAAAGTTGACTGTAACTCGGTCCGAAGAGTAGTAAACCGGCGCTGAGCTTCTGCAAGCTTTTCTGTTAGCAAGGGAAGGGAAAAGTCAGATGAGAGGATAGCAACTTGCCTACCGAGCCCATAAAGAGCAGTACACCTTTTCCTCAAATCACATGCCTGTAGGAGAAAAGCACTGCATCGAGTAGCTTACTGCATGGCCGTCCGCCCCTAAGCATTAAATTCAACAACTCCGCATATTTCTTTTTTATGAAGCTCCTTCTCGTTAGAGGTTTTAGCGCACTCCTACGTAAAACACACACGTTCTCCAAAAAAAAAAGTCATCATGTCAGACAGGTCTTAATTAATATAGTCAAAACCAAGAGCCTGTCCCTTCAGCACAGACTAAAGCAGCACCAGACGTGAACTCAGACCTCTTGACTTCCACCCCAGATCCGACTTCTGGAGGATGCTTGTCCCAGGACCCTAACCCTACGAATAGCTGTTGCGGCTACAAAAAGCCCAACCTGCGCCGCCACAGAACGCCAACCCGGCGCGGCCACTGCCTGTACCTTGGGGCTACGAGCCAGCCCAGGGACCCGGCAGGGTCCGGCCCCCCCACGCCGGCAGAGCCGTAGCTGGAGGCAGCCCGGCAGATGGGGGCTCACCCAAATACCAAAGCAGTGACCACGCGTCTACTCCGAGCGCAAAGGGAAGCTGCTCGCCTTTCTCAAAAAGCATCAGAACAAAAACCCAACTGTTAGGCAACATTATGAAACTTGACAGCAAGCAAAGCACTTCTCAGATCTGTGCACCCAGTGCTGACTACCTGTTTACTATCTTTTTACATGACGGTTACGAAATCAAAGAGGAAAAAAACACAACCACACTTCAAAGGGGATGCTGAATTTTGTTGCTCAGAGCGCAACGCAACCCCTCCGCCGAGCTCCCGGTGACAAACGCAGCTTCTGCTTTGATCAGGAGCTACGCCGCTACTTGCTGCTGTACATGATCCGCTGTAATAATTTATCCCTCTTTTCTTCAGTTTAGGCTCACGCAGGTTAGAAGCATCGTCTCATCATTTACTGATTAAAGGGACAGTCAGCCTGAACTGAAATATCATTTTGATGTGTTTTCAGGACAAGTCAGTCTCTCTTCCTCACATCTCAAGTATGAAAAAGGTGTTCCTTTACACATGCCGCTTGATGTGCTATCAGAAAAGAATCTTTTTTGGCTAAATAACAATCTTTTAATGCTAAAAACAGCGTAACTGACACCATTATCTCTCTCTCTGTTCTGTACAAGTAGTTCCTTCCAGGCTTTTTTCCCCGCTACGCTTCAGTCCCAGCTTGGGCATCTCTGTTGATAAGCTCCATCGCAGACCCCGGGCGCCGGCCCGGAAGACGCCGAGCAGGTTCGCGGTGTCGGAGCAGAGGGCTGGGAGCTGGAGCCACCTCCACACCAGAAACCACGGAGCCCCAAGGTCCCACCACGACCCAAAGCTCTGCCCGACACTCTCCTGGCTGTCAATTTAATTCTCTTCGTTAGTAGCTTACATAACAACTTCATGGTAATTCACAATCGCTCCCCCGCTAGAAGTAATATTTACTCTTGTGGGAGCAATTCTGACCTTTTCCTCAGTCTTATTCAATTCTGGTTAATTTTAAGAGTAAAACTCCTCTGTAAATAATTTTGCAGTGCTCTGCATAAGATATTTTCCACAAGGAGAATGCCTTTCTGAACAGAAAATGGGGATCAATATAGAAAAATCAAGTACGGAAGAGCCTGCAACTCTCCATAAATAAAGTTCATAACCAAGAAAGTTAAGTAAGAGGTTTTAAAACAACAGGAAAGACAACTCCTCTCTGACAACTTCTACAGCTGCAAGGACTCCACCGAACAGAAGCAACGCAGCCCACAGTGAAAAGTGTCCAAATTATTAAATATGAAAGTATTTAAAATTACATCTTTCAATTGAAAGCCCTGTTCCATTGTCCCTACGTCCAGAAAAATCTTAAAATCCATCAGCCTAATAACACAACGTTTAAAGAAAAGACAATGCTTTGAAATAATTCTAAAACTGCTGCTGCAATTTCCCTGTTTGCAAAGCAGCATCCATAAAAAAGCATCATGTCCAAATACAAGCATTCTTCTTAATTATGCACCGCTGAAGAGAGTCGTGTGCCGTCTTCTATACGGCCCCCTCCACCCATAGGGGATGACCACATCCAGCTGAGGATGCCTTCAAAGGCAACTGAACCAGCCCAATAATGACCTGCCACTCCTGAGAAACAGCAGCCCTGCCAGCTCCTCCCTCCCGCTGACTCCAGTTATCCGGTCTATAAATCGTTTCATCTTGTTAAGGTATGATTTTATCATCAAGATTCATTGCAGAAGCAAAATAAGACAAAACGTGTGCTGCTATTCTTAAAATCTGCCCGGGAAATGGCAAAACGGAGAGGAAATTAATTTCTCAGTTTGCAACATACTCCAAAATAGTTGAAAAGACATCCACCACTATCACTAATTTAGCACTCGGAAAAGTGAGTTTTAAAAAAATATGCCACTCAGAGGAGTTGGAAAAAAGCAGCACACACTTAGAAACTGGAA